GTCCCAATCTTGGATAGTTTACATCAAAATTGAAACTCGATATTCTTCTGTTTTCAAGGATCGATGTGCTGTTTTTTACTTAATTTGGTGAGATTAATTTCATCTTGACGGAAGCTGATTCGGATGCACCTAGAGTGGAAAACAAAAATCGGATCCGATTATTCCAATTTCCAGTTCCTCCTGGAGATAGATGAGAAAGAAGATAAAAAGGAAGAAAGGAGAAAATAGTGAGTTGATGATGGTTGAATGAAAAGTGGTAACAAAAAGAGAGAGAAAAGTTGAAGCTCCAAATAAGGTTACAATTGAATAGTTTTTCCTCGTCCGATTGAAACTGGATTTTATTTTTCCTTAAATAACCACAGTTGATCGTTTAAACAGTCCATAATTTAGCTTTTGTTTTCATCAACCAAGCCGATCAATTGTCAAGTTTATTTTTACATTTTTTTTCAATTCTATTTCAATATTGTCCTTTTTTGTTTCTTTTGTCATCATCGTCATCATACTCATCGCTATTATAAATTATCAGCAGATAACTTTTGTGTTTTAATAACCACCACAATTGATCATTATTTTGACAAACAAAACATCATTCAGTCAGAAGGAACAACTTGGCCTTTTAAAACATCGAAACTTCCAATTTGGTGATTTGTTTGAATCAATATTGCACGGTTAATTGGCTTTCCATTGAACCTCATTCTCCATGTACACATATATTGGGTAAGTGAAACACTATTCAGTCTGCTATTCCTTAATGATGTATTTAAATGTAGTTAATTGTGTCAATAGATTTTAAAGAGAAATCCGAATCAAGTAATGATCAAGAGATGTTGAACAAGTTGAACGTGAAGGAAACCAGCAACAACCATGAATGAGACGGTAAAATGAAGAGTAATTTGTATAACATTAATGATTTCATGTGTTAGTGATCAGCCAGGCACACATTTATCACATAATTGTCAAGTGATGTTAGATGAAAGAGAGCACGATAAATAAGATAATAATCAGATGATTATACATCTTTTGGACAGCATCTTCTTTTGTTCCGAAACGCCGTCATTTTCATAATATATAATTATTCGACCTGAAAAATTAGTCGATTCAATGAAGCAAGCCAGCAAGCTCATCAAAAATGAGTCTCAATCCGTCAAGTGACATGACAGTGTGATGAGTGTAAACGGACTGGATGAGTAGAGAGGTTTCGAGTTAGCTTGGAGCAGAACGATATAAAAAAATGAAGACAATAACTTGTTACATTGAGACAATTGGTGAAGCAAAAGTGCTTTTCTTTTGCTTTGAAGGAAAGTTGAAAAAGGTGAATAAAGGTTGTTGATGATAAATGGACGAGAAGAAGTGACAAAAAGTAGTTGGCCATGAATCCAGGAGTCCGATCACATCATGTTATTATTGGCATCAACAAGTGTAATTTGTTATATTTCTTGATTCATCTTTCTCTCAACTAGTGTTACTTTTCCGATCATCAGTTTTGTCCATTGCTTTCCTTATATTTTCAATTCAACTCCTAAACTCCTTGTATTAAAGTTGCTATTGTTTCTTGCTTTTTCTTTGAATGGATGCTTTCGATGTTAGAACCATGCACAATCAACGTTTAAATTGGCCTGAACCTCCAAAAAATGTTCTCATTATCCAGAAAATTCACGATTCAAGTGTTTTACCATGCTTTATTCAACTGACACAATGGCTTCTAATGGTAAGTCTAGTCTTTTCCTCCTTTCACGATCATATTTCCATAGAAACTGTTATTAAAGGAAGATGATATATTCATTAAAATTTGCAAGTATATTCATGTTATTTGTGGAATTTGTTGATTACTTTTACTTCAAATTACAAATTTAGATGCTTAGAACCAACAATCAGTATTTAATTACCAAGAAATTAAAAGATAAAAAATGAAAAGAAGACAATCTTTGAATCAACTTTTTATAATTTTGACGCAATTTTAAAAATAGTTTTATAGCAACATTAGAACAAATTCCTGATAATCTGTCTCTTGACTGTTCCTGGAAATCAACCCAATTTTGATACATTTATTAGGTGTAAAGTTTTTTTAAGGTAATCCTTTTCACCATATTTAGCCTTTCTTGTTGCTTGTATATTTCAATGCGATTCATTTTTTGCTTAAAATTTAAACTTTTTTACCAATTTAAGTAAATCAGGCTAAAGTTGATTCATTTGAAAAGCAATGTAAACTTATTGATGTTGCTTATTTTAAAAGATATTTTTGAAAATTGTGTATCTAGGAAAGTAGAGTTGTTTAATTGAATTCAAGCCCATCCAAGTAATTTGCGTAATTTACAATGTGATGGCTATTTCCTCATCTAATTTGGAAGTCATTTCATTCGTTTAGATTTTCACAGGAAATTTTTTCAAATTTGTAACATAATCATGATTTAGTTATTGCAGAATGGATAGCACATTGATAAAGCTCTAAATTAAGCACTCAGCCAATTTCGCACCTTTAAGAGGTTTAATTAACATGGTTATGATTTCGTTTTCAATCTTCTCTTACAGCAGGTTCAGTTATCAGTCTCGATTAAATTGAAAAATATTCCTTAATCTGGTATAAGCGGTCATAGGACTGTGATGCCAGCTTGCCAGAAGATGGAATTGATACTTCAGTTACGAAGGGAAATATAACGTTAATAATAAGGATAGGCAATGGTTTCTTGTAATCTAGCGGTATTGATAACCAAAGCTTTGGACGGTTTTTCCGTTGCTTATTGTCATATCTAAATGGCAAGGTAATACATAAGACAAATTTAATTAGCCTCATTGAAATAGTTGGAATCGTAAGCCACAATTGGAAAGATATTGATTTATATGGCAACATTGGGAAAATGGGTAACAAGGAAAATACCAAACAGAATTTCTTCAAACTTATTGATCAATACAAGTTGTCTATTCATGTAAACATATCAATTTGATAAATCGGATAATCTGGGAATTGCTGTGGTAATCAATGAATTGAAATTAAAAGGTTATTCTTGATAATTTGCAGGATTGAATATATTCTGGTGAATTTGGTTCAAGGCTAATGATAACCTTACAAGTAAATATTGAAAAAAGTGATTTTAATAACATTTACCAGTTCTGATAAAACGAGTAACATTTGGATTTGATGAAGTTTAACCTCAAGTTAGATGATCGATATCAATAGTTTCTTTAGTAATTGACATAATGATTTGAATCATTTCATAAAAAACACGTTTGAGTTTAAATTGATTTAAATTGCACTGGTGAGTTGTGAGTACAATCATTCTCGTTTGAAAAGAATCAACTTTTATAACAAAACCAGCTTTTAATTGTCAAAACCTATTTTAACAGACAAAAATCTGGTGTAAAAGAGTTACTTTATTCAAAGTATTCAGGTATAAAGAGGATTATCACTGATTATTACACTGACAATTGTACTTGAATATAAGTATTTCCTGACGATTGTAACATTTTGATAAAATGTTAACTTATATTCCTCGGTGCATAAGAAAACAAGTGATTAACAATTAACGAGATAATCTAAGTCAAAGATTTAGTCAAATGAATCTTGACAGTTTACTTGTCTATCCTTTAGCTATTGTTGTTGGCATGTGGTTGTATCATAGTTACGTTCACTTTTACGAACTAATTTACATTGCTTAGTCAACAAGTATAAATGAATACCTGAGAGACTAGGTAAAGAATGATCTGAAAGACTTTAATCAATATCTTTACATTACCAAATCTGTTCGTTCAAATCCATTGCACAGCGAATTGGCTGACAAGTTCTATGAGGTTGGGAATTTTGACAAGGTGGATAAGCTATTCGATACATCGATAGGTTCCTAAAGCTCTGATACATTTACGGTGATTGAGTCAGTTGAAGGTTTGCGGTCATGTTATCCTGGTTTACAACAAACTTTAATTATAGTCATAATCTGCAGAGATATTAGAGAAAAGTTGAGAATTAATTTCTTCATCACAGAATTGACAGTTAACAATTTGAGTTACCTTCTGTTTGATAGCCTAATGATCATAATTTAAATATTTCAATTTCTATTTCAATACATTTCCATAAATGAATGAACGGTACTTCCAAATATCCTTTAACTGGTTTCTATTTTTTATAATCCATTTTTTCGCATTTTAATCACTTTATTGAACTATTGCATTGTCAATAGGAGAAGCAAATGGTTGTTCTTGTTGAAAAGAATGTACTTAAAGATATTCGAAACCGAGCTGAACCTTTATTCAAACAGCTTCGTGACAAACTGTTGGTTTTTGAAGTTGATCGTAATAACCGAGACTTTGGTAAAGAAGTTGATCTGGTCATCTGTTTGGGTGGTGATGGAACCCTTTTGTACGCATCATCTCTATTCCAGGTAATGAATACAAATCAAATTGAGCTAGGGAGTCAAAAATAGTTAGAAAGACCACAAAGCAAAACAAGCAAGTTGTAAAACTAAATTACATTTAAAAAATCCGTTACCAAAATTACTCCATTGTCTCAAACACAAAATAAAAAAACCAAAAAACCAATAACATCAACACCTCGCAACATAATTAGAGCAAGGTTCCACCGGTCATGGCATTTCATTTTGGATCACTTGGATTTCTAGCTCCGTTCGAGTTTGAATCGTTTAAGCAACAAGTTACCAAAGTTATTGAAGGTGATTTACCACCTTAACCAACTTTTTTTACAGCAAAAAATATAACCAAATAGTTCTAAAAAATGTCTTTTTTGTTTTCTTCCAATCTTTCGTTTTGAATTTCATTCCAATTTCAACAATTTAGGCAAAGCTGGAGTTACCCTGAGAAGTAGACTGTCATGCAGTGTTCATAAACAGGAAACCAATACACTTGTTGACCAATCCAATCAATTTGTTGTCCTAAATGAAGTTGTCCTGGACAGAGGCTTATCGCCATTCCTATGTAATCTTGATCTTTACATTGAAGGTAAATACATAACAACAGTACAAGGCGATGGGTTGATTGTTTCAACACCAACTGGAAGCACTGCTTATGCTGTAGGAGCCGGTGCCTCCATGGTGCATCCAAGTGTCCCAGCAATCATGGTAACCCCAATTTGTCCACATTCATTATCATTCAGACCCATAGTCGTTCCAGCAGGGATACAGCTCAAGGTAAATCAAAGTCAAAATCTGATTCCAAATGATTCCATTTCGAATGATAGATAAGGATGTTGAAGTTGTAATATCTTAATAGATTTCAATAATCAATTATAAATACATTTGTATCATTTTTATTTGCTTGTCACAACTGATTAATCTTCTTCTTTCCATCGTTTTCCACCATTTACTTCCATGTTACTCATGGATTCTTGCTGATTGTTACATTAGATCCTGGTTTCCAAAGATTCTCGAGGCTCTGCTTGGGTTTCCTTCGATGGACGACAACGTCAAGAATTGAACATAGGCGACGAGTGAGTAATGTTTTAAATGGCCAATTACTCAGCTGGGATACAGTTAATTTGCATTAGCATAGTAGTCAACAGTTATATTTAATCAGCTGATTGGTAATTTATGTGCATTTTCCCGGAAGATTACAATTGCAAGCATAAATTTTCAATCAATTAATTATTAAATTATCCTTGAATCTGAAAAAAGACAAGTAAAAATAAGCATTAGGAATAAATTCAACATAATTATCAACAGCTTTCCATATTGTTTTTTTCAAAACATTTTCTGGTTACTTAACAATTTATATTTGTCTTACCTTTACTCTAATAGGTTAAATGTCACTACATCCGTCCATCCCATTCCATCAATTTGTTTCAAAGATCCAATGACTGACTGGTTCTCAAGTCTAGGTGAATGTTTACATTGGAACGAAAGGAAAAAGCAACAGGCAATCGTCTTGTATGACAATTTGGATTTTGACGACAACGATGATCACAGTTCCCCTATTCACCAGAATGGTGTCGAGAAGCGGTGACAGGAATATTTTCAATGTTCATCGTAGAAGCTGGAACAGTACATTTTTCTCGCAAGATGAAAGCACAAATGGAATAGCAATACATTCAAGTTACAGGAGCATTTAAGAATCAAAATGATTGATTAGAAAAATAATCACATGTTATTGAGTTCTACATGTCTTTGTTAGACTCTGTCTATTGTTTAGACGTTTCTAAAGATACACTTATTTTTGCCTACAAAAGTTAATTTTGTCATTTGAATTTGTAATAATGTTGCTCTTATATTATATCATGTAATTGTCAACTATAAATGTGATGAAGAACAGTCCATTCGCTCAACAAATCGATACTGGGCTTTCTGTTGCATTTGTAACACTTGCTAAAGGTAAAATTAAAAATAATAACTGATAATCTAGGTTATGAGAAATATCTGATCAATAATCAGTCAATTTTTCCTGGACAATCATTTTTATTCACTTTTTTATAGCAATGCTTACAAGCGTTTGTAATTGCCTCTTTACAACTGCAATTTTATAATCAATACTAAAGTTAAAATTCATAGTTGCAAGCAAAATATGGAAATATCAACCGAATCGAAATAC